TTTACCTCAGTGATTTATATAAAATGCTATCTGATTATTTTTTATTTCTGAATGTTAACTTCAGTTTTATATTGTCGATTTGCCTTTGAGCTCGCCGGTCTCGGGCTCCTGATTCCCACACTCGCGGCAAAGTTCTGGTGATAAATGCTTCTTGTTCCCTGACGAATAGCTCAAGTGTTTTAACTATTAATTGTCCTTCTGAAAGGATTCCTATGTTAGACCTTCGTTGCTTTTTTGGGTTTCGGGCGATTTCTTTTGCGAAACTCGCGCTGAAGGTCGCGGCGGCTCTCGTTTGTTTTGAGGCTGCGACGGGAGGGACGCTTTTGAGTTTACGCTTTCCGACGGACTCCCGCCACAGCGAACGATTTCACCAAATTAGCGAAAGTTTGTTATTTTTTTAATAATTAAAAGTATTTTTAGAATGTTGCATACTTACATGTGTATAATATGAATGTCATAGTAATAATTTTTTTCCGAATACAACAAACTAAAGAAAACAATAATAGCAACTAACAAAACATAACAGACATGTATATTATTAAAGTATACTTAGTGGCCAATTAACAAGGGCACTCGAATAGTAATTGTGGTAAAGGCGTGGGGTGAAAAACATTTAATTAAAACGGAAAAGAGAAAATGAAAAGAAGAAGTAAAAAGAAAAATAATCTTATATGACTTATAACTAACTAAAATGAATTAAAAGCGTATGATTTGACTAAAACTATAGAACGTATTTGATCTAAATAAAAGTTATTTTTGCAACGTGTATTACGTGTAAACGTAACCTTTAGACTAAGGGACGCTTCTTTAAACGAGGAGTTTTTACTATTTACAACAAAACAGAAAACAGATTTCCCCCCTCCTTTATTTTACCGGATAGGGCAAAATGGTTAAAAAAAAATATCGAAATTTGGGGAAAATAATGAGGCAGTTTTTTTTAATTAAGTTGGTAATATTTTTGTTTCCGCAGGCCATATTCAATTAATACTTTTAGAGATAGAGCCGAGAGCTATTCGTAGTGGAACACTCTCGTATCTGCTAGAGTAATTTTCCAATACTATATTATCATTATTTCGATTGATTAACTTAACAATGAAAATATATATTAAATTTTTGGTGAAATAGTTAAGTAAATAAAAATTTAAATACAATTCATGTGAAATAATTTGAACATTAATAGTCTTCGTTTTTTTTTTCAAATAAACTTCCTACTGTAATACTATTAAGAAATATTTTGGATTGCTCCTGCGTTGTTTTTTTTTTGTATTAGCTACATCGTACTACTTAATTCGACAATTTTTGATATTATTTCATATAATTTTTTTACCTAGTACAACTGATTTCATAATACAAGTAATAACCACTTTATATTTACAATTTCCTTCGTCTGTCATTCATTCTAACATTAATTTTGATAAATATGTTTCATTAAAAAATATATATTAGAAGTGTCGAGCTGAAATACGGATGGATGCAAGAATTATTCGGTAAACAACAAAAAAAATCTTTCTTTAGGACTGCCACTAGCAGTTGCTCTACGGAATTTTTCTGTTGTCTGTTTTTCTGCTGTTTTTCCAACAGTAATATTCTACAAAAAATAGTATATTACGCAACAAGTGCGGTAAACTTCATTTGCTTAAACAAACATGTTGCATACGGTACTTTTTCTACTACTGTCAAACGTCAAAATTACGATAAAACCCGTGCGGTAATATTCCAGAAATGTCCGAATTGGCTAGGATTTTACCGCACGGATTTGGGAGCAATCGGAAGTTTCCGGAGATATTTCCAACGCTTTCAAAATTGACGTTTGTCAATTCTGACGGTCATGTCAGTGAATGTATTTTTTGTTGTTTTGCTAAAATGTACCCAAAAACTAACGGTCGTAGAAAAAGTATAGTTTGCAACACGTTCGGTAAAATTTTTGACTCACTCGTTTATTAAAAACTCACACCGCTGCTGCGCTCCGCTCGTGTCAAATAAACTCGTGAGTCAAATGCCGTTTACCGCACTTGTTGCATAATATACTATTACACTCTTGTTTATTGTCGTTCACTATTTCGTGACTGTTGACATTGCTCTTTTTTTGTCTTATAAGGCAATGGATAATAAGAATCTGCAGGAACCCATATGTAATCAAAAATACCGATATTTGTATTGCTTCGAGAAGATTTTCTTGAATGATGCTCACACATATCGTCTTTGTTGCGCGCTTCTTCTAATAGATGTCGAATTGGCAAAATTAATTATTCAGCTTTTATATCAACCTCATAAATTTAAGTCTTATGAACACTACCAGGCATATTAAACCCAAACTTTTCTGTCTTCAAATATCTAATTTGCGGAAACTTAAAAGATCTACCTCAAAATAATTGCAATATGAAAAAATGAAAACAAAATATTCGCACAATAAAACTAACTAAAACTACAGCAAAAGCCTATTGTGAAATCCAGCTATCCGAGGTTTTGCCAGATGCTGCGTAGCCTCAATATTTGCTGGTTTAGTTTACAAACAGATCTCCAAACTATATCAAAAATATTTGTCATAGTAAAGAGAAGGAAATAAATGGATAGAGGGTAGTAAGTAGTAAAAACGTTAATAAGCATACCGTAAAATAACTCCTGTTAACTTAGACCATAAACAGCCACTCTAAAGAAAACTTTTTTAAGTGGATATTCATGGTATAATGAAAAGATGCCATACGGAACTAAATCTGTTATGTATATTTAGCCATCCTGTACTAATATCTAATATGGTAACGACCTCGTATCCCATAAATTAGAGATGGTCCAAAGACTTCATAGCAGTGATTCAACTGAGATAAAACAATTGATTAAGATGTTTAAGTGTGAATTTCACTTCCAATCGAAATTACTTTTTAAATTAACTATCTCATTTATTTAGAGAAGAAATTGACCCGGTGAATAATTGCCATCCAAAATAAATACTGTTTAAAAAAAACACTTTATAATGTGTGTGAATCGTGGATAAGAAATTAAGTTCATGTCACGACGAAGTCCTGAATTACCTTTTTTTAACAAAAATTTACGCAAAGGTTCCCAAACAAACGAAAATAAAATTTTAAGATAGAATACTGAATAAACTTGCTATAAAATTTTGCCTAAGTACCTCATGAGACTAACTATACCACATGTTTTATATTTCTATTCTTATATACTTAGATAATAATAATGGTTTGCATTATTGAACATTTCGAAAGCATCATGGCAAAAGGCAGGCTTGTAATAAAAAAAATAAATTGTTTAATTAGTTTTTCTACTATCTTTTATAACATTTCCAATTACGCACCGATCGAGCATGTGGAGAGCATCACTTTAATGTATTCAAGTTCAAACTAAAAAATTATAAAAAGTAAGTTATTTTGTACAATGAAAATCCGGTTTAATTTTAATAAAAACTTGTTCGTGTTAATAAAATATATTTACTAGGTTGCGAAATTAAGCTAGATTCTCTCTGTAGTTTAACTTCTTGCTTCTCGTCCGCATATTAAGTTCGTCCAATTAAAAAAACGACCCTGTCAACTGTCAGTAAAACAGAAATATTGATGCGTGTCATCCGAGTATCGGCCAGCTGGTGATTAATGACGATTTAATGTGTATATTTTAATCCGTTCTTCAGTTTTATTCGAATTCAAAATAATTTTACACAAAGTCTTTTCGGCAATTTCTTCTTTACTTTTGCCTTCCTTAATCTTATTTCTAGGCTTTTTTTTTCAATTTTAAACCGACCATGAACTTTACACCAAATTGACTAAATTTGCCTATTATTATCTATTAATGATATACTGAGCTCCGAATTTTTCACAGCTGTTGGCTATATAAATATATGTAGCAAATAATGAGAGTTCTAAATTTAACTCTTCTTTCAGTTTCATTAATTCTAAAATAATCAAATGGTGCAAACAAGGAGGATATGATAATCATCTTCAATTATGAATCTCTGATTCTATGGGCAGTTAAGTGCTCGAAACTTGTACAAGATGTGTACAAAAAGTAAGGTGATTTTTAAGTTTAATCAAAAAGTATTTATTTGTTAATGTTGCCCTTCAAAGTTTTCTAGTAAGCACTTTCTATAGCCTTCACTGCTTCCAGCGATTTTCTCTTTATCGCCTCAATCGTTCCAAACGTCCTTCCTTTCTTGGGTTTCTTGAGTTTTGGCAACAGGAAAGAGTCGCAATATGGTGGCTGAGACATCATTGTGGTTTTGTTTTTGGGCAAAAAGTTAGACAAAAGCAAAGATAAGTGAGTACATTATCGTGATGCAAAATGAATGAATTGGGCGCATAACTTCAAGGTAATACGCTTTGTTGACCGTACGACCTTGTGGACGGCTGGACATTGGTTTTGACGTCATAACTATATACTCATGATTCGTCACATTTTTGAGCATATCAGGATCATTATTGACGTCATCATTGCGATGCTCCTTTGACGGTCCTATTGTTCAAAATTAAGCAGTTTCGGAAAATATTTTGCTGCTACACGTTTCGTGCCCAAAACTTCAGAAAAAATTGCATGGCACCAGTCAATAAAGATGCCGACGTCTTTAGCCACTTCTTTAATAGTGATTCGACCATTTTTCAACACCACTTGTTTCATTTCTTCAACGCTTTCATTAGTTATTGACGTGCTGGGGCGTCCAGAGCGAGGTTCGTCATCGGCGCCTTCTCGGTCATCTTGGAACGGCTTGTACCCCTTATAAACATTTTATTAGCTCAAAGTAGATTCACCAAATGCCGTTGTCATTATATCAAGTTTTTTGCAGTACTGTATTCCATTTTTTATACAAAATTTTATGCAAATTCTTTGGTCCATTTTTTTTTGACAGCAGAAAATCGTCGAGCACACAAAACTGGCTGAAACTATGAACATATGTTAGGAACATGTGTACCAACATAAAAAAATCGATATACAAAAGTCACATATAGCGAATGGATCTTTTATTTAGTTAATAAAGCGATTCTATTTTGCATTTGCAGAAAGTTCGCCGATGTCGGCAAGAAACTTTCCCCCTTCTTTCTGGAACAGTCAGCATTACGCAGGCGCGAGCGGAGGTCACCACGGTACTTCTGCAGCTGACCTCTACTCCGAGCACTACCATCCGGGAGACGCTTGGTACCAATACAGTCAGCACCATCGCGCCGTGCACGACTATCACCACCACAACATGGCCGCCCAGTATGGGGGTCTGTTGCTGCCAGGGTCGCGCTTACATATGAGCTCACACGCCCCCTGCAAGGCGATGGACTGGCAGCATCCCTCTATCGAATCGGCGTACTCGTCGTACCCTTCAATGTCAGGTGAGTCGATCACATTTAAATCCTGAAACCCGGCACGCGCAACAGTATAGGTAGAAAATTAACATATAAAACTATGCAGGGTGTTTTCTAATTGAATGTTATTAATTAAGAGTACATTTTAAATAGAAAACTTCATATGAACATATGTCCTAAATATCGTAACTGTTAGTGGTGCAAGCAAATGTCTTTTTTTAAAGAATTCAGTGGCGTGCCATTGGCTGTCTGTGAACAAATAATATATTGGTTAATTAGGTCGCCACTGCACTGTTCAATTTGATTTTTTTTTTGTGAAATATAAAATTTCTATCTAAAACAAAATATCTAGTTTTTTGTTACCATCTAGAAAAGAAAATTAGAAACAATTCTTTTTTACTTTTACAATTAATGAAATAACAAAATATCCTAACAACAAGATAAATATTAAATGATTCTTATTAACAAAAAAAAACGTTACCTACCGTTAATCTTTTTTAACAAAATTGTCTGTTAATAAATTAATAACCTTTTTGAAAAAAAGTAAATCAAAGAAACTAGATACGTTGTTGGAAGTGTCCTCCACCTTGAGCACTCTTTAAAGTATACCTCCAGTGTTTCTTATTAAATCGCAGGAAGCTCTTATGCGATCCTTCACTCTTCTACCGTATTAATTTGAGTGCCATAAAGACTTTTAAGATGCCCCCATAAGAAAAAGTTCAAACTATTTAAATTTGGAGACCTAGGAGGCCACTATAGTAAGTACGCGCGCCGTCATGCATGAACCACATTCTGTTCCTAATTATATATGGTACTTCTTCCTCTTCCCCTTCTAAAAAACGGCGATAATTATAACCTTTCTGGCAGGAGAAATGGTTCAATTAAGTAATTTCTAAGAATTACAGTCCAAACATTTACCGAAAACTGTTCTTGTATTTCTGAAAAAGTTAGCTTCATTTATAATTAGTATTTCTTGGTCAAACAAGAAATTTTGTCCAAAAACCATTGACCATTAACCATTGACCATTGACAATCTCTGGGAAGTAACGCTTGGACTCGTTGAATACGGTATGGGTACAATAGAAAATAGTGCGAAATTTTCCAAACCAAGACGTGCGAGATATTCAGATTATTTCCAATTCTTCTAGTAATAAGTTCAGGATTTTCATCAATAGAACTGCTTTTTTAATTTCTGGAATTCTTACAGTCCGATGGGCCCGTTTGAAATGACTATTTGCAGACATATCATATTACAATGATATGAAATAATTATAAAGATTTCAAAAATACACCTCAGAGTTTACGTACTTCCCGTTAGTACTTCATTTATTTTGAAGTATTTTAATAAAACAGATTAGTAAGAAATAATATTGATAATATTTCTCTGCATGCTCTCATATTAACAATATTGTTATGAGCATACAGAGAAGAGGTTTTTATTTTTTCCAGCAAAACCCTTATATCGGATTGAAAAAATCAAGAAAATAAAATTCTTTAGAAACGATTGGGGATTGTAAGAATATTTTTCATTTTAAGAGAAATCCCTCCACCGGAGTATTTTAAAAAAAATCTAAAGCGGTATTACAGATATTAAAAAAATATTTAATTTTTAAAAAATTGGGGTAAAGGAATAGAACATAAATAAACACTCCTAATGACGCAATAAAAATGTAGTATGTGTCTTTAATCTATTATATCGACAGTAATTAATAAAATGGCGAGTATACTATTACTACTATTAGTAACTAGTAACTATACTAATTCTCCCTTATCAGTGAACGAAAATTACTACTACTGCTTAAATAATTGCATGGGATATGGCAATTCATCAAGTCAATTGGAATACCAGTAAAATATGCTATTCGAAGAATAATTCACACTTTTACTAGAGCAAATTTTACTAAAAAACGAAAACCTTGAAGGATATAAATTTTGCATTTTAAATGGCCGTTCTTTTACTTGAGACGACATTGTTTTTTGACAAAGAAAATATTGAAAAAGTACAAAGCAGAAAAACGCACACTATGGAAGCGAAGATGGATTCCTAAAGGAGGAGACGGCTTATTGACATTTCAGTTCTCTCGAACCGGAGATTATAATTTATAATAAAGCTTTACTTCAACCCCGCGCACCATTTAGAAATGGAATGATACTAACCAATTCTCAAGGCCCCCTTTTTTTAAATAGATTATATATGATTATTATGCAAATATTCGTCATTTTTCAATGTATCATCATAATATTTTCCACTCACTTCGTATACCGTGAACTAAGGACGCCGGTTACAACATACTCCAACCGACTCGGGAGATCTCAAATCGGTGCTGCATTCGGCAGGAACGGTGCAGCCAACAGGACGGAGAAGATCCCGCAGACATCAAGAAATCAATAACTCGTTTGACCAAAGGTGGCCAATGGCGAGCACGCTCTTAACCGACGCTCCTCCCCTCTCGTTACCATCGGGCATTCCACAGACGCCTCTAATTGCTATCCTCGGCAAAGTTGCTGACTGAGAACATGGCAGTGCCGGCTGATATGCAGATAAGATGATGATGATGATGATGATGATGCATAAAGTTTTATATGGGGGAGTTGCAAATTATACCCTTATAAATATAAAATTAATTAATTAATTTAGTTTTCGCATACTGGTCCTAAAAACACAGGGGTGTGCATTCGACGATTGTGTTTTATAACTGTAAACCAGTGTTGGTAATAATAACATGTCTTTTACCCTAACAACAAATAAAGTATTTTGAACACTATGACGTCAGACAAAACGAAGGAAAACAAAGTAGAAAATATACCCGTCGGAAAAGTATAGAACAAAAATTAAAAAATATCTTTGTCGGTAAGTCTTGCAATATGATAGATTATCTTCATGCAGATGCGACATGTGGTAACCTACAATTTCTGGACCTATTTAACAAAAATAGGGACAGTGTAACAATACTCCTCAAGTCTTGGTGTGTTTTCAATTTTCTTGCTCTAACAGATATAATAATTTTCATTTTTAAAAAACAGTTAAAAAGATCTGTTTGTTATAGCATATTTACTTACATAAAAACCAATACAAATAAAATACAAAAATATTTAGATTTAAAAAAATAAAAAAAAATCTTTTAAATCAATAAATCATATTTCCGTCACATGCCAGTAAACAAGTTTAATAAGTGTTTTATTAAATAATCCTTAAAAACTTTTTCATTAACAACATTGGGTTTTAAGACACTTTAATAATTCAAATGGTTTTCACAAAACAAAAGAAATGAATTATTGAGCAGGAGATTTATTATCGAAATTTTTAGTGTTTTGTTGCCGTCTTTCTGCGCGCATAATTTATAATTAACTGATTTTTACAAAAACATATATAAATACGTGTTGAAAAAGCTAATCCAGCTTTTGTGATTTAGTAATATTTTGCTTTTGTTGTATTCTTGTTCATTAACTAGAAAGCATTAACAAAGGCATAACTACAAAAAAACCAGATCTTATAGACTTAACCAAAAAGCAACTAATTTGACAATAACTGCAAATTGTTAATTAATATTTTTAAATTATGAAAATAAAAAGCTGCTCTAGTATTAAAAATAAAAATAGATACAAAATACATTATCTTTTTAGACTTTGTAATTTTCGTGTTCTTTATCTTAGCAAACATTTATATTATCTAGACATAATATTTTAGTTCAGTACAAAATAGCAGCCAAGCGAAACAACGCAAGCGCCCAACAGTTATACTTCTTATTAATATCTCTTAATTATTAACGCCCCAATCGGTTTAATTACCGAATAGAAAAAATATGGACGCACTCTGGTCATTACAAGTAGTAGTTTATATCCCGTATCGGACAAATTAAGACCATACAGCAATCATGCGCGTTCATTACTTATTATAAAAACCCTATCCAACTCGAATTGGTCGTGGCTATCAATTATCAATAGTCTGAAGGAATTTTTATAACGTTAGGAATGCGATATAAAAGTTATTTCATCGGGATAATGAATCTTTCAATTAATTGGGATTTGCAAGGAACGCGACTAATTTTCGCTTATTTTATTCAACGGCGCGATGAAATATCACTTATTATTAACCATAGAATACGTAATTATTAGTTTTTTCAGTAGTCATTAGCAAAATTGATTCAAATTTGAGTCAAAATAGTGAGCCAAGTGACAAGGAAACAAGGTCTGCCTTGAACCAAGAATAAATTAGTCAGTATTTCTTAAGTGGAAGTAAACTAAACTTTGGCCCAAAGGAAATGTTACTATTAATTTAAAGCTATAAATATTACAATGAGCAACAGGATTACTTTAATCTTGTTTTAAACTAATAATTATTAATCCCAGTGTTTTCCTACATTTTTTAAAAATTAATAATCTTATTCTTCAAGGTATGCCTATTTCCTATCAAACAAGAGAGAATTGAAGCTAATTTTTTATTTCATCCCTTATCTAACCATTTCCACAAACGCCTGTTGTTATCTGTTTGCTATTCAATAACGATTGCCACCAATTTTCTTTTCAAATTATTCAAATATTTAAAATATTCAACATGAAATGATATTTAATAATAGTTATGATATTACAATCTCGATTTTATTCAAACAAAAAAAAGGAAATAAAAAGTTACCGAAAAATCACGTAAACTTTAGTGAACAGGGTTGTATATTTATCGTGATCTAATGCATATCTAAAACACCTAGACGTTTGTAGTGGGCTGGATCTTAATGCGGGTATACGAATAAAAATTAGCTTTAACTTCACCTCTTTTAAAGAGGTTTCAAAGCTAGGAAAAAAAGGCAAACTGTTTGGTAATGGAATTTATTTATTTTAAATATAAAACTCTGTATTCAAATTTAGACAATAATAAAGTGATTTTGCCCTTAAAACAAATATTTCGGGTATACTATGCTCGTTGTGCCTAGATTTAAATTGTTAAATTTTGGTCATAACAGTCTAACATGCAAATTTAAACGTCTTAATAAAACTCCTGATTGGTTTTATTGTTCCTGATTTGATAAAAAATTTCTCATAATATCTATGGTTTAACATAAAATGCCTTTTTAATTTAAAACCTTTAATTCGTTATCAATTTCAAACAAAACGGATATCTTAAGTCGAAAACAATTAAAATTGAAGAACTGTCGAAGAATAAGGAAAACGTGTTTATTCTCCAGCGCGGAAAGTACGCAAGCTTGGTTGCATACAACTTAACAGAAAATAATTTGCCTTTTGAGAAAAATTGTGTTTCACCACAGTAACATTAAACAATTTGAAATAATTTTCCACCTTACTTCTTACTTATCCTATTATAAATATATTCAAGACCCACGCTTTTCTAAGTAATAAGTACAAATAAAACTATAATTTTTTCTGTCTGTTGGAAATCACATGCTGATAGATCCCTATTAATAGGGTTTTTGAATTGACCGGTCAATTTTTTTTCTGTCAATTGACAAGCCAATTGAAATTGAAATTTATTTATTTATATTGTGCGTTACGCCGCCATCACGTCTTTCTGAGAACTAAATGGGGTGGATAATTTTATTTTATCGTATTCGAGTATTCCTTGAAGAGGGTTATAGGTAAATTGGACATCACAAACGCATAATAATTTATTATAAAACACATATCATTACAAAAAAATGATAGATAAGACTCTAAAATTGTTATTTAAAACATTTTGATCGAATTTGACTAGTCAATTAAGAAGTCCCAACACTACCTATTAGTTGAATATTTTGTTTTCTTTAATTTCTGATAATAAATAGTAATAATAATAATAATAATATTAAATTTTACCACTGTAGTGGAAGAAATGATGATGTTAGCGGGCGTGTAACAAGACATACTTTTCTCGATAAAAATAGCTATTAAGTTCGATCGACAGGCGGTTGCTAATAATTGGTTAAAGACAACGGTTGTTCTTTTTGTTGCAGGTCTAGAAGCGCAAGTCCAAGACTCGTCGAAAGACCTGTACTGGTTCTGAACTGGACGCGATGGGCGACTGTGTATAGTTAATTTTAAGTGAAACGTGATTTTAAGTGTAATATAAAAAAGTACAAACTGTTTTATTTAAATTTTCGACGGGAGTCGCGCGCGAGCGCCCACGCCATTTTGAAAACGTTTATTTTAAATAAATGTTCCTTATTTTTGTCAGAACGTTGTATGATTGACGATGCAAAGTCTGATGTAAGTATTAAAGTTACAGATATTTACCGATCCAATTGTTTTATTTAGTATAACTGGGAACTTTCTATATGCTTCTATAAATCTAGAGATTAATTTAAGATTGTTATTCAAGTGTGCCTTGTTTTTTTTGGTACCCTGCGTTCAATTTATCTTAATAACATTTTATTTGGCTGTAACTTTTTTGTTTTTAGAGATATTAAGGTAAACAAAAAAAAACAAAATTTTGGGTTAGTAGCAAGTAACATATAAAACAAAATAAGCCTACATCATATATTTTTTTAAACGGAACACCCTGTATATTATGTCCCGAAAAGTCGGGGCTGTTGGCTGGTCAATCCATAGTTCCGTCGTTCCCTATCGAACCCCTGGGGTATCCAATGTTAAGAAAACTTTTAACTTGTGAGAAGCAGCACCGTCTTGCTGCTACATAATCAGCTCTGATATATTTAGGGGTAAATCTTCTATATATTGTTCTATTGGTGCTATACGAGTTGCAAATAATGATCTCCAGTTAACTTTTGATCTATAAATATCGGATCCAAAATATGCCCATCTATTACATCACACCATACATTAATTGATTGGTACCCCTGGGTTTTTATTTGTCTACGATTATTTAAAGACCAATATCGCGTATTTTGTCTATTACAACCCTTTCTTGTATTGAACGAACTTTCATCGGTCCAGAAAAAAATTTTCAAAAAAATTATTATTCTGATTATGTCTATTTAAAAAATCCAAGCAATGGATTGGTCCCCGAGAAATACCTTTCTCTTTACATACTCTAGTAACAATTTTTATTGGTAAGTGAGGGCACTCTTTGAAGTTATATAAAAAATTCCTATTTTCGCCGATTTGTCAAAAACGAGTGGTTGATAGTGTTTTGTTTTATGCGTCACTTGGAAAAAAACTTGGCTACTAGACCTACATTTTATTTTTTTATTTATATTAATATCTCTAAAAACAAAAAAGTTACAGCCAATTAAAATGTTATAAAGATAAATTAAACGCACGGTACATAGATATTCGAAAAAATAATAAGGCCAATTGTGTTTTCATACATTTTGAATCTCTTTTAGGAAAAAATAAACAATTAAATATTTAGTTAAAATTAAACAAATTACGAATAACATTAAGATACACATGTTCGTTAAAAGTCTAAAATTCGCACTGTAATATATGTTTTTCTTTGCACTCTTAGAGAAAATCCTTATTAATTAATCATTAACAACGGAATACGAGTTAACAATGCAATATAAATAATTAAATTTACATAAAAAAGTATATTCCTACACATGTATGCAATCTCAATTTGAATGGGGCAAGTAATACTATCTTCTACTTTCATTGCTTCTAAAAAAATTTTCAAATACTTTTCGACTGCTGGTAGTCAAACTTATCAAATTGACTAACTCAACGAAATAGAAACTTATTTCATTAAATTCAATTTTCTGATTATAAATTATTATTATACTGTTATAAATTTGCCTATATAAATGCGTACCGTCTAGGCATATGTAAACGTATAGTTAAAGGAACAAATTGCCCAAAATATAACGCCCAAATATTTGTGAAATCCTAATTTAGTGGGGCCATAAAATCATCGCCTAGGTAGTTTTATTAAATTTTTGAAATGGACAGCATCGTAAAAGTGTCTCGTAAAAAAGACCGAAATTCAAATGGGGCGGGTACCGCCTGACACGTTTGCTTTGGCGCGAAATCCATTCGTCGGGAACGGACAACCTGCATGGATGCAAAATTTTTGAACGTTTTCTTAAAACGGTTTTTCATTTTGATTGATTTTGATGTTTTCTTTTGAATTGAACATGATATTAAACTAAATATTATTGTGGAAAATTGCGTCATGCATACAAATACATAAATTTGGGGTTTATATTTATATATCCATTGAGTTTAATTTGGATTTTCTAAGTGAAATTTTTAATAAAAAAAAGGCATATGTGTTGTTTATACATAAATATTTAAAATGGACATTATTTTCTGTGCCATGTCACCGAGAATCCATAATTTACTCGAAAACGAATTTATTAAAGAAAATATGTCAATTAAACTTTATCTAAAGCAAAATGCCTATCGAACATTAAAATTTATTGTTGGGAATATCGAATATCGATCACTTTTTGGTAATAAATTCGAACATACGCCCAAAATACGATTCTCGGTTGTATATTTGACGTTGGACATGTTAAATATACACATGCTATTGAATATATTCGCAGAAAAAAGAAACTAGAAATCAGAATCGCACTTTTCCACCAAAACGGTTCAAATACAGTCTTGCCGCTTTCCCACCATTAACGATCCTCTACATGTGGTGAGCCGCAACGTGTTAATTAGCATCTTGTGTTGTTGCGGTTCATCCGTTTTTGGGACACCGATCTACCTTTGTCAGGTCCGTACTGTACAGAATTTCAGGTGAAAACTTCTTTTGTCGGAATAACAGTTTCTATTACTTATAAAAATTAGATCAACTAGGTAGCTTAGTAAATATTACACATTTAACACAAAATGCATAATTCATAAAAAGAATTGCAAATAATTTGATTACAGTAAATTTAATTGTCTAGTACCTTTTTAAATCAAATTCCTGAATGAACCAAGCCACTGTCAAACCTAAGATATCTAAAACAATAGGACCGAGATGTGTTCTTTATCTCTCTGCAACAGTTTCACTAAAACTAATTTATTTAAAAGCAAATTTAAAACATTTATTAAAACTGAAATAACTGGAAATAAAATCCGTAGAATAGATTTAAAAAACAACTAATAATTTCAAATTTATTAATTTGATCCATTTATCCATTATTTGCTTATGATTCTTTTCTAGTTTTTGTATCTATATTTTTCTGTATGCTTGCAAGGTTAAAATTAGCAATATTAGAGTTATTATCTATTTACTAGAGACAAAATCCAGAATTACTATTGTTTTTCCTTTCCTTTTTGCAGTTTTTGCGTTGGTTCTAGCTAGGTTTAAAAAAAATTCTTTCAAGGCTAGAATTTGGTATAGTTTTAAGTTGTCAGTGTGTTTACTTAGTATGTACTGTCTTTCTTGGAATGATATCTGGGATGTATTTAGCTTGTCTAATAACATTGTAGTTATTAAATAAATGCTATAGAATAATAATAATAATAATAATAATATTAATAATAGTATACAGTTCGCCATTGAGTATCATCATCTGTCAGGGCTATAACCCTCTGGCAGTTAACAAACATTGTTCATTTTCCTTGTTTTTCCTTATCTGGTTGTCTATCATCATAGTGATTCTTGCTTTTGATGTGACTGCTCAAAATAATTCTATTAACGTAAGTTTTTCAGTCAGGAAGCCCATCTTCTTCCCGCACTTCTTGTGACTTGTATTTTCGCTTGGATTATTAATTTTAACATGTAACATGTAAAAGCTTCCACTTAGCATGAAGTGACCTAGGTAAGCAAGATTCCTTGTTTTTACTCTACCACTATATCCCTATATGTTTCTTTTTCCATTCGCATTAAAATATCTGCATTTGTTACTCTTTTCCTCCAAGAAATTCTAAGTCGTTTTAAGTCATGTTTGTTGTCCATGATTCCATTCCGTAGAGAACGAGAGTTTTCACTTACCTTTCCAGTACAATTTCATGTGATGTGATTTCGTAAGATGTGTAACTTTTCAGCACCAAATTAGAACATACGTTTTGTAATGTTGATTCTACGCGTTGAAAAATAGTATAAAATCAACAAATATCAAAATTGTAATTTTTAGGTTTGTAAAGAATATGCTTTTCTTGTGATCGGAATATCATGGTCATATTTTTGGGGCCTTCGAATAATCAAAACCAAACCTAAAACCTAAAAACAATTTTGGGTACATTTGAAAATATTTTTATATTTGATTTATTTACAAATTATTTGTTTAGTCACTTTAAAACATCAACGATTTTCTTTTTGCCTATATTTAATGTACTGCGTATTTATTTTAAACAGAATTATGTTCAAAACAATTACTTGCTTATTGCAAAAGGACGTTTTTCCGTTCTTTTATAATAACACTACTACATTGATCAATAAGAGTAGCTCAGTTTTTAAATTGTTGGCGATAAGCAAACAATCAATATATTAAGCATTACGAAATAATGCAACAGTGAACGGGTGAAAGATTACACATAAACATTCTTATTAATTATCTTTTATTTTATTACCAAAATCTCAGTAAAGACAAACAGGTATTATTTACAAAAATCTGCTAAATTTTGTTCTAGTCTAAGGACAGCGGTAACAGAAAAATAGGGCTCTCTTTACAATTATAATTTGAATGGTTTCGTTTTCAATCGAAATGTAGAAAATACTTTTGTTTTAATAAGAATAAGTAATAAAAATTATCGTGCACATGTAAGTTTCAAGAAAACTTTATAGAATCATATAGCGTCTTATTGATTTGTTAAGAAGCACCAATGAAGCAAAATCATACTTAATTTTGATCAAATCGTTAATTAGGTTTTGGTTAGTGTGTATTGAAAAGATACATTTTATCGATCTACTGCCTTTCTTTCTTCTAAAATATTTATTGCAAAAATCGAAAATTCTTCCAAATATTTTGACTATTTTATGTTAGTTACGTTTTCAAAACACTGCATATGAAATTATCATATGATGGTAGCTTTTCGGTCCCAAAATAGTTCAAAAGTTTCACGGACTTTATATTTAAGACTCTCCATAATTCCACGATGCGGGTACTGCCCTGCTTCGCTTTCGCATGTGGCACACACTTGCAAACGCATCTAAAAGCTGCGAAGGCGTTGCGTAAATACATTAATCAAAGGCGGTTGATACGCAGGAAAGAACTTTTGCTTTGGTCGGCGGTGTGTATGATGAATGGACGGCTTGATTGGATTTCTTGTAGTATTCTAACAAGCACCCGATGGCCAACCTGCTTGCCGTGCCGACTGACGTAGCTTCTTTATAACAATAAAAATGTTATATAAAAATGTATTAATCATAAATATTTATTTATACATTAAAG